ACTGGAAAACTGTCTTGGAGCTATATAAAGCTATTGGCTGAGCTGATGACCCACCTACCAAAGCAGAGAACACAAGGCAGTGAGAAGAAAATACTGAAACTTCTACTTACATTGAATTTTTTATAAATAAATAAGAAATAAATTAAGCTTTACTAATATTCAAGACTTGGATTGACAATAATGTCCCCACTCAGTCCATATCTCACATGACTACACTGTTGATAAGGCACTTGAGAAATCCTAAAGGAAAACTGGGAGTTTCAAGACAGAAATTCTGGCAGTGGTTACTTGGTTCCTTAATTTGCTTTCAAATTGCAATTTATTACCATTTCCATTTGACCACCTGAAGTGAATTTATAGAGTAAATCATTGTAAATGGTAAAATATTTATACTTCTTCATAATGAGATGTGTGACCTGAAAAATCTTTTTCCTACATAAAGATTTCCTGATTATCTCAAAGTGAACTACTTGTTTCTGAATTCAAAGATTATTATACATTGCTCTTTAGAAAAGAGAGAAATGTTTCCAATTTGCTGACCTGCTCTATGCTGACTAGTGGTTGTTAGCAGTGTCTATGCAGCAGGTATCTTTTTAAAAATCTAAGCTGTTCCTTCAAAGTAAAAGTGACATTTAAGTAATCCATGAGTAAGCCTTTTGAAGTGAACATTTTGAAAATGGATATCTGGAAATGGTTTTCAGTGCTCTGCGTTTTTTGTTGCCAAAAACTATAAATACTCACGTAGCCATGTAGTTTAAACTTGGAAATAAAATGTCCTAATCTGTTTGAAAATATTTCTTGTGAAAGTTTGAGTGAATTTTTAACCTCTTCCTTTAAAATATTAAAATGCCCATTAGTTTGCAGGGACCAATTAATTGACATCAGAGAGAATGAAAAATTTCCAGCTGTAATCCTGTAAAAACCTTTGCAAAATTGGTAGATGGAACTGAAAAATGAGCACTGTGATGTAGCAAATATAGTCAACAATTTATTTCTTCAATTTGAAATGACACATCCTTGTGAGGTATATATTTAACTATGATAGACATGAAAACTGAGTGTAAAAATAAACTGAACTTAGAGACCTCTGAATCATGCATTACTAAGTATTAAACTAAGATTTTTTTAAATGTTAAAGTATAATCAATCAAAGCACTCTCACTAATATTTTTTTCAAACACTGTGATCAATTACATTGCCCACATTAGATGCATTTTTTTAATTTATCTTTATTGTTGAAAGAATTATGTCACCCTCTGCTTCCCCCATTTACCCCCATATGCATTTATTTTTATAAACTATCTGCATTAAAATATTATTTCATCTTTATCTTCAACCTGATTAAGTTTTCTGATTTTTAATATGTAGAACATATAACAAAAGATGCATGCATAATTTGTAGGTTAATATATGTATATTATATTAACACACACACATACACACACACATACTATGGATGGATGCATAATGCATTTTTACTAATAGAATATAATAAAAAAGTTTCAAAGACACTCTCCTAATATTTCCTGCTCAAACAATGATTAAAAGTTTTTTCTTATAATGGAAACAAAGCAAAAGAATACCATTAAAACATAATTAAGTAACATTTTTAATGTTTTAAATAAACTATTATGTAAGAGAAGATTTTGTATATTCAAAGCAAACAATGATATGAGAATAGGTAAAGAATTATTTCAATGGAGGCTAACAATATGATCAAGTCCATGCTAGAATGATCTGAATCAGTTGCAAAAACAGAATAAACCTGCAATCCAGTTCAGGGTGCTGATTCAGATCTTGTTTTACTCTGCCCTTCAAAAAACACTCACCGGTAGTGGCCTCATAGACCCTGTAACAACCCATACCCACTGAGTAATTATTTTCCTCACAAACCACGCCATACCTTTCTAAAATGGTCTACATATCACTTGTTTCCCACATCAGACTCACAATTCTGGTTTAAGATAACTTGGAAGCTGAAAAGTCAAAACACTGGAAAAAAAGTTTTAAGTGAAAAGTTTGCCTCAGTTATAAATTTGAAATTTTTAACAACCTCTAGTATTTACAAGAAAGGGTGCTAAACATTGGCAAGAAAGAACTCACAGTAAACATGATGAGCGTCTCTTTTTCTAATAATATGGATATTCACACCCTACAGATAAGACTCATGTTAACTATTTCCAAAATAAGCCAATTTACACAGTGATTCTTGGAGTCCATAACAGAAGATTTGTGACAAGGAACAAAGGAGAGCCAGTGCAGATAAAAAATGCCCTGAACAAGAGACTTTTCTTTCTGTTTTTCCACACGGTAGAAACTTCAAGAGAAACCAATTCCTAGTCACCAGTTAACCTCAGTACAGGGAAGGAATTGAAAGACTATTGCTAGTCACTAGACCAGTGGTTGGAGACTGCGGCTCGCGAGCCACATGCGGCTCTTTGGCCCCTAGAGTGTGGCTCTTCCACAAAATACCGACTTCTGCACATGGGCTACAAAGTTTCAATTGCACTGTACGTGCGCGCCTGCACGTGGTATTTTGTGGTATTTTGTGGAAGAGCCACACTCAAGGGGCCAAAAAGCTGCATGTGGCTCGCAAGCGGCAGTTTGCCGACCACGGCCTAGACCAAAGATGTGGTATGAAACTGTCGCAGGTGCCCTGAGTGACCAGAACCACCAGCAGGACCTTAGAGAAGCCCAACAAACAAAAAAAATGAAGAGTTCCATGGCAGGCTTGGCTAAGTCCGCCCAGCCCCAAGGGCCTCATGGGCTCAGCCTGGCACACCAAGATCTCCTACTCCCAGCTCCAGCACCTGAGCAAGGAAAGGAGGTAGAGAGATCTAGAGTACTTGTCTGACAGACATTCCAGTGTTTGATGATGTTACTTTTATACCGCTGACCCTCTTTCTATAACACATTTCACGGAGGGTTATTGAACTGTGGGTTGTCTTTTAGGATATGTTTTTCCAGTTTTTCCTATAGGAATCGAAAAAAATATAATGTTCTCATATATAATTCCCAAAATCACACATTTAAACCTAATTTTTGTTAACCAGAATAGAGGATAATATTTTATCTAGAAATAACTTAGTTTATTTAAAAACTTTAAAAAGAAACAATACCCAGAAAGTTTATAATTCTGATGCAACAAAAATAAATCAATCCTCTAAAAAGAGAAAGAGGTTCTTCCACTATGATCATCTAGTCAAATAAATAGGTAAATAGGTATGCTATAAATAAACAAAAACTACACTAAGATTGTTAGAAGCAAGAAGCAACTGTAAAACACTGAAAAATAAGCATCTCTTTGTTCCTAAGGAGAATGCTTATTGCACCACCCGGGAGCACCACTGAAACAAGGCTGTACAGAAATGAGCACCTACAGATGACACCATGCAGAAAAACCCACTGCGGCTAAAAGACGAAGCTAAGTGACTATATACCATTGGCATGGAGATAATAATCAGGCTAAAATATTCACCAGGTCAATGACTGAAATTCATATCTTTAGAAATGTCAGAATCATCCACAGGGAAGTGGATACTCAGAAACTGTAAGAATACATAAAGGAAATGAAAGAGGATCTTAAATGAATTGACAAGACAGAAACAGTTCCTTGCATGATTGGGTCCCAGCAGGGGAATGAAGGACGTGAGAGCCATGTGGAGGTATATGTAGATGTGGGCTACGGTGTTGGGATATGTAGCGATGTGCATGGATATTGAGGAATTGGGGATTATGGATACATGGTGGAAATGTGTGATGGATTTAGAAGGATGTGGAGAATTAGGGGGGAATTAGAGGGTTTAGAGGGTGACAAAGTTGAGGGATATTGTGATAGGGAGTATGGGGGCACCTGGAGGAGTGTGTGGAGTGTAAGGGGAAAGTGGGGAACTGCAGATGATTTGGGGAGTGATAGGGGTATGAAAGTGTGTGGGTTGGGTATGGCAGAATATGTGGGGGATGCACAAGGGAAATATGAAATGGGCACATATACAGGCATGTAGAGCTATGCACATGTCTGTGCACTTTTCTATTTAGTAATGACACAAATAAGTGCTTGTTCTTAATTTTCCCTGTGATTAATAATTTCTTACCTTAAAATTGTAGTACGTATAACCATCTTTCACAAAGGGCAAAAAATGGATTAAAGATGTAGATCACTACCTTTATGGGAATATTCCCTCTATTTTAAATAAACCAAGCTGAATTTCCTCACACATTTATGGACTGAAAGTTGGGATAGCCCAAGTATTTAATATCAAGAACTTTATTGTACATTTGTTCTTAACACTTTGGACCTCAGAAGTAGATTACTGAAAAGGAAACCAGGATGCCATCACACTTCCTGTCTGAAACTACAAAAGACAGGTGATAGTCATATTTCCAGATTTATAATCTCTATGCCTGTCCCTAGCCATCCACAGTCCCATGAAATAAGGAACGGATAAAAAAACTGGAAATTGGGAATATATGCGCCAACATATACATTTCCTTTCCAGGTCCCTGTTAGTTTTCTCCTTGTTTTTAATATTTCCCTGCCATTCTCTCTCTCTCTCTCTCTCTCTCTCTCTCTCTCTCTCTCTCTCTCTCTCTTTTCTGGCAGATGGCAGTGTGTCCGAGTGAATAGCATCAAGGTTTCACCAAGCATCATCTTCCATTAAAATATGCATAATCTGGTTGGCCCTTCCAGGACTGGTTTTTCACTTCATTGCTATTTTAATTTCCAGCCCCTTTTGAAAAATAGGATCAGCCTTTGACTAATGTCAAACTTCAGACATAATTTCAGTTTCAGCCTTCTCTTAGTCTCCAAATGAACAGTTACTCTGCACAAATTTAATTTCCTACTCCTTTTTCAGTTCACTTGGCAACATTTAGACCTGCATAGGAGGTATTTTCCCAGTAAAACGTCTCATGATCACTTACCCACAAAAATACAATAAATCATAAGGAATACATTTCTAGGCTTCTGATTTCAGGGGACTCTATTTCCATGTTCTTACCTCTGAATTATTGAGATGACATTTATGAGTTCCTGAAAACCAGCCATCACTCGAACATTGGTCAATGTCTACTTTCTGAAGATTTATGTCCACTTTCATGACACCCCTTAAAAATAGAGAAAGATAAAAAGAACAAGTTAAGCTGAGCCTTTACAAGTTCTAACACTGTATTCTGTCCTGGAAATCAGACAAATTAGCATAAATAATGTACTATAAATTTTGAAAACTCTCACTCATATTCAACAAGTGAAGATAAAGGTACAATAGAAAAGAATAATAATAATTATCTATTGTTCACTGTCTTCAGCTCCCCATATAATGCCTGGCACATAGTAGGTGCTAATAAATATTTATTGATTGACTAAACCCCAGACAGTATCTCTCTGGACATGATAGCAAAATTGACTCTGAAATAACACCTGCTCCTAGTATCCCTTCTATAAAGTAAATTAATACAAAGTTCTCATTTTATTTCGTTCTACTCCTATTTTCCTATTGTAGAGTCAGGATGTAGAAAATGAAGGTGGGGGGGGGGCGGTAATCAGGAAGGGAGGACCATATCAGAAAATAAGCATCTCTTTCCTCTGATTTTCTATAGCAATGACTTTAAACAGCTCTTTAGGTCTCAAAGTATTCCAACCAAGCAGAGTTTTGTATTACCTACATATATGCTGATTAGCATTTTTCTTGAAAATCTAGAAACAAAAACACTGCTTTTACTTAGCCATTTGAGATAAGTCACTAAAAAAGAGAACTCACAAATTTAGGGCCAAAAGCACAACTGCAAAGAAAGCTACAACTGTATCTAAAATTCCTCCATTTTCTCCAACCAACCTCTGTACAATTTCCTAAGGTCTCTCTCGTTTATTTTTCACTACCACCAGCACCACTAGCAGTAGGAGCAGCAGAAATATCTGTCCTGCACTGAACTGTCACACTTGGACTTTAATGAAATCAATATTCTGTGTCCTGGGTCCTGAAGCTTGACATTTGCTGATGTTTTTCACACATGAGTAAAATATAAACAACCCACTAAAACCCACTAAACATGAAAAACAAAAAACATCTTTAAGGCCCTACAACCCCATATTAAACTATTTTCATTATGATATCTACACATATAAAAGCCTAAGTGACCGGCTGGTAGCTATGATGTGCATTGACCACCAGCGGGCAGGCACTCAACACAGGAGCAGAAATCACAAGCATGGAAACAAGGAACAGACTGATGAATCTCAGAGGGTAGAGGGTAAGGGGGAAGGCAGGAAGAGATTAACCAAAGATCTTATATGCATATTAGAGACCCGGTGCATGGATTTGTGCACTGGTGGGGTCCCGCGGTCTGATCTGTGGGGATCAGACCAAAACTGGTTCTTCAACATCCCCCAAGGGGTCCTGGATTGTGAGAGGGTGCAGGCCAGGCTGAAGGACTCCGCCAGTGCACAAATCC